ACCATATCCCTCGCCGATTATCATCCGAACCCATTTATGAAATCGAATATTGTACAATATTAATATGTTTTACTAACTTAATCCATAGTGCTATTGCCTTCCGCACACCATGCTGGTTCTTACCTGTCACATAGCGAGTAGAGCTAACTTATGGCGAGCGTACTGATTTTTTTCTCAGAATTTGTCCAAGTCCAAATCACTGATCTCTACTATAAGAGCTGGATTGCTCATTGGCCAATCCTTGTTCAGAAAAAAGTGAGGCCTCCGACGCCATGTTAGAGGGCCTAAGTGACGTACGGAACCAGTTTAGTCAAGTTTCTTTTGGCATTTATTTATATTATAGTTAAAAATAACGATTCTTGCAATACTTTTCAATAATAAATTCAAATTTAACGTATGAATTTTTTTCAAACTATCTAACCACTAGCCGCAACTGTTTATGCAGTTTAGAAAAGCGCCAGCGAAGTCGCTTTGTTATAGTGACGTCGATCCTAACAATGTAAATAACTTTGCTTGCGCTTTTTTAAACTGCATAAAAAGCTACGTCAAGGTTAAATGATTTGAAAAATAATCATTACGTTAAATTCAAATTCATTATTAAAATGTTTTGCAAGAATTGTTATTTTTAACAATAATGTAAAAAATATTAAAAAAAACTTGTCTAAACTGATACGTCACTCAGGCTCTCCAACATGGCGTCGGCGACCTCACTAAACCCAGCCAATGAGCAATCCAGCTATTATAGTAGAGATCAGTGGTTCAGATACGCTCAAATTCTAGGCCAGAAAAAAAGAAACGAACCTTCTGGCGTAAAAGACGAACGCCCAACGAATGAGGAACGAATGCTGATCGTACAACTAACGTCCATATTAACGCGTTCGTAGCGTTCGCCCAACGAATGTTAAGCGTACATAATGAATGTTCAGCGAATGTCACACGTATGCCTACGTGCTGCAGCCGGTCACATGACGTATCTCGACTGGGTCGACCCACACTTCACAGGTAACAACCTTCTGATTCATACATAGCATATTAAGCAGAACGTTGTCACACGTTCAAAAATTTTAACATGTCCAAAATTTAAAATCGACCCAAGCGTACCTCTGCGAATCCCTACGAATACCTAACGAATACAACGTATGTCAAACGTGTCACGAACGAATGTCAACTTACGCGAACGTAAACGAAAATGTTATGAACGTCGGCATACGTTGGCTTTCGCTACAGTGTGACAGGGGAATACGTCTAACGCCCCTGTGAATAGAGCCAACGTATGTCGACGTTTAAGAAAAAATTTCAGGAGAATTCCATAACGTTGCAGCTGAACTCAGGTCATTAGCTGCAATATTATGGAATTCTCCCCAGTGATGAGTGTGTGTTACATATGTGTCTAATGACCGAGGTAATATTGTTAAGTGCATAAGTCGACCATTATTAGTATGCTCATAGTGTAATCAACTTCAATATACAGTAATTAGGAGCTATGTATGACTAAATGGATAACCCTACGTAGAGGTTAAACTGACAAACTCTTGATGTTGCATGTAGCACATCGTGTTTTTTTAATTGTTGTACTTCAGGACACATATTTCGAATTTGGTCGTCCATCAAAGTGTAGTGTTGTAGGAAACAGTGGTATTTTGAACAACAGCAGCTGTGGAGAGCATATCGATAACGCCGACTTTGTTATCAGGTAAGTTATTTATTTATTTACTTATGTATTTTTTTTGTTTAAGAATATTAATTTAGTAACAAGTTCTCGTAATCTCGAAAGCTTCGATGAGGGCAGTATAATTGAGGAAGCAGAGTGTGTTGGCCCTAACGTCCGCCCATATAAAACAGATCTAATTATCAATACAATCAAACAATCAATAAAAAATCAATCAGCCGGCTCTTCCTAGAGCTCCTTTAAAATTAACAATAACTATGGCTTGTTGGTCTAGAGGGATGAATGTAAGTTAGTGTGTGAAAGGACCCTGGTTCAATTCCCCAGAGGAGCCCGTTTTTTTTTCTCTAAAAAATAAAAAGAAAGCACAGTCAATCAGCAAAAAGCAGTTAAAAAAGCAAAAAGCATAGTCAATAAGCCATGAAAATAGCAAAGTCAATCAGAAAAAAAAAACAAAAAAAAAAACACAGTCAATCAGCAGAGTATTCCGAGCTCCTCATCGGAGCTTAAAAAAAGCACGGCTGTGACGAACACAATGAACACTTACCTTTTGCAAGTGATCGCTTACCACACTATTCCACATCTGCATTAATCCTACGATTTATCATAGTCATGTTTCGGGTGATATGTTTAAAATAATACATGTTGCGATTGTTAAAATAAGTCGGGGACATTAGTTCTAAAGAATAACATAGGCCAATTGTGCTGACGAATGTCACTTCCACGTTACGTTACTAGAGTCTTTACATAATGATATGACTGGCGAATCATTCAAAGTACTTGATTAGATTTTATTTTAATTTATTTGGTCCCAGTAAACATAAACTCAGATAAAAATACAATCCTATGCAGAAACAAGAAATGTATTAACGCAGAGATAAAAGCCTATAAAACAGTTTTGATTAGGAAACATTAAAATACTAAAACAAATAACATGAAAAACAAAGGAACCAAGGAAAGCTCTTTAAAACAATTTTATTTCCAAAGGGGCATTTATAATAAAATACAAATAATTAAAACAACAATTCTTTAAAAACTTATACAAAATATATGCAATTTTATAAAATTTTACTTAGGAAGATTTTAGATTAAAAGCAGTCAATTTAAGATGATTTTTTACATGCATATTTAACATTTCTCAGGTTATTGCTTTCCTTGACATCCTTTGGTAGACGGTTCCATTCTGTAATTAAAAAATCTATCAAAACAGGTCGAGGCCATACTCCTTATAATAGTAATGGTGCGTTTGCTTTCTTTCTTAATTTTTTTTTCGATTGCAGGTGCCTATGTCTTATACTTTTCGTCTTTAAAATTCTGTACCGTATATATTATATTTTGTTGTCTTTTGAATGCACTGCCTTCTTTATTATTATATTAATTATTACTTATATATTAGAGACAAGTTTTATTTTAATGTTTCTAGCTTTCAGGAGAAACCAAAACTCATTTAGATGACTCTTGAAGTTTTTCTTTTTTTTCTTAAAATAATATTAAGGAGAAAAGAACAAAAAAAGAAGACTTAGGTATTAAGAAAGATAGTTACAACGAAAAAAAAAATTGTCTTTTCGAATATATATATA